CTTTTCTCTCGCGACGCTATCGCGCACCCTCTCGAAACTCGAGAAACGAAAGTTCTCGCGCGCGAGCGATAGTACGGGATAGTGCAAACGCGCAAGTAGAGCGTGAAATTCCGAAGGCCGCGCGAATATGCCAGTTTTGCGGAGACGGTATCCCTTCGATTGTGCGCAATTGCCACGTGTAGTTTCCTGAAAGGAAGTTTTCAGCTAATATTTGAATGAAGAAGGCGAAACGCGTCAGCATCTTTGCGTCGCATCTGCGGCGCTTATCGACCGGAAGCCTATTAATCGGCTTAACGGCTACGTGAAAAATCGGTAGTGGCGAAATATCCGCATTCAGAACAAACCGGTCGGTTAAGTAATTTCGAGTATTAATTTCAAGTCTTTTTTTTTTACAAAGCAAAACACAGAACTAACAGACCACTGATGATCTAATACCAGCGTTAATACCAGCTACTATTGGATAAAAGGATGTAGTGTAAAAAATCAAATAAAAAATTTATGCGCACAATATTTCCTACCTGCCGACTGTTCCAAATATAAATGAAGAGAGAATTTCGCGGCGCTGGGGAAACCTGTGTCTCGCTCCTCCGAGATGGTCTTCGTACAACAATGCGGGAGAGGATTGCCACGTGTGTGATTTACAGCTACCATTACACTCCGCTGGTATTGTCAACCAATCCCAACGGATTGTTTATCTTCCGGAACGATGTTTTAAAGTTGCCGTCTTCCTCTTAAGTGACCCACATTATCTGAAACCGCACACATTACGCCGGGTGATCAATCACACACGCTTATAGTTTCCTTGATGCAACCTCAGGGTGTCTCACACAATTGCACACTTTTAAAGAAATCTTTTAGACCAGACGTTTAAAAGTATAAATTATATAAGAATTAAAAATAGAGAATTTTTTTCTTGAGCTGAACAGATAATTTATATTGAATGTTTTAATGAAAAAAAAAAAAAAAAAAATCATCAGACTCTTATTGATCCTGTTGTGTTTGGCAACTTTATGTGTGAATGAACAGAGCGTTTCTCTCTGTAACAATGTTGAACAAAACGAAACTTTCATGCAATTGGGAAATTGCATCGCTGCGCGTCAGAAGTGCAAACAAGCGCTGGAATAAGCAATGATTCAGAGACCGCGCCTTTTACCCAAAGACATCAATCGGCTTCTTCGCGAGAGAGAAAGGTGTGTATGTGTGTGTTCGACCTCCTTTTTAACGCCGCTCTGATCCGGCATCTGATGACGTACGTATCGCACGCGGCGCGATTGTGATAATTGTTTCGCATTACCGGCGGAATTAGCCGAGAGATGTTACAAGCGAGGCTCAACGAGAATCGGCGCGGCGGAACAACGCTCTTGTACACACACTCGGGGGAAAGTCATTTCTTTCGTCGACCGCAGGATTGACTTACACCCGCGCGCGCGTGTGTGTGTGTGTGGGAAGCTATCGAACTAGGATTGGAATCGCGATGAAATTGCCATGCCGCGTCGCAAAACAACGCAAACTTCCTCCCGTTGTTTTACAATTGCGGGAAGAAAAAACGATTCGCGGAAAAATTTCTCTCTTCTTGGAAATTTTTGTAAAATACATTTATTTTTCATTGACGCGCCTTTTCTTTGTGGAATTGAACAAATACGAACACGTTTCACGCGAATAAATAAAAGATCATAGGCAATAGGAAACCCGAAGTGTACTTGAGATGCGCCGCACAACGACTGTTTTGTGACGCACTTAAATCAAATCACGTACACAACGTCTGCAGTTAAGTGATTACGTATTTCGAAAGTAAAAAAAAAAAAAAAACTGTTCGCCGTTGCTTTCGCCGCCGATTGGTTTATTACGACACGGTTTTCCCGTCGGGATGTTTATTGCGCCCGATGTATGGAGAGCGTTCCGCGGGGATCGATTTCTTTCGGTTTGAATTTCCCGCGACGCGAAGGGAAATTCCCTCGCCCTCGTTATTTATTTCGATGGATTCGTTTCTGAAACGATCGACCGGAATGTGCGTGGAAAAAATCGCGAAGAAAGCAGAAAAATCGCGCGCCCGTGTCCGACACGCGATCTTCCGTAATGAAAATTGTTGGATATGTAAGTGCGAGCGCGCGGCTCGTGTACGAATCGCGGCTGGCAATCAAAAATGATGTCAGTAGCACGCGAAGGCAAACATCGCGGTATGAAAATTCTTCGCGAATTCTCAATTGCGTATCGCCGCGGGCCGATGACATCATCGTTCGGTGTGATATCATCGGGCAAATATTAATTGCATCTCGATAGCACATCGAAGTCGACCAATGATTTTTCAAAGAGACGATCGACTCTCGATTGCGCGAAACGTTTTTCCGTGATCGCCGATAATTGCACACGTTACGCTCAAACTCACAATCACCGCTTATTAACGTAAAGTGAATTACACGTGCACGGACGTTGAGAAATGTTGGAAAAAGTAGTCTTATCTGGAAAGTAATCTTCAATTGGATAATATTGAAGATTATCCAATTGAAAACTATACTTTTTCGATATAAGATCACTCCTCAATTAATTCCTTCCGCCGAATTAGATATTCTTTCGCAAAACTGTACGAGAGAGTACGTTTCAAATTATTATTTGCATAACTCTCAAGCAAAATCCGTGCATTGCCGCATCGTTGTTTTCGCGCGCGCAAAAGAAAAAAAAAATCTCTCGTTTTGTGTAACTTCGCGATCTCTCACAAGAACCGACGAAGACTTCGAGCCGCTTATTAGAAATCGTACGCTATTTGATGCGATTCACAGTTCGTTAGCTTCGGTCTCACTCCAAAAACTCGCCGATTCGTGAGCGACACGCAATACGACACCCCGTCTTCTTCCCTCGCAGTGTTTTTCTCTCAAGCAAAAAAAAAAAACGATGAAACAATTTAAAAAAAAATAAATATAAAAATACAAAATAATAAATAAAAAAAAAAGTAATTATCACGAGTATATCAATTGTGTCTCAAAACAATTTACCGCCGCGATTGTTGCATTATAATAAATATATTACAACATACACACAGTAATTATATCTGCCTTTGTTCGACCATCACTCTGGTGATAATCGATTTGTTTCGATACGCTCACGAATGTAAGAGAGGTTAAAGATATAGCGATTTGTGTGCTCGGCAATATTTTCCGCGTCCACCAGAAGGCCGACTACATTCACCGGTGCGCGAACACGTCGCTGTTACTCGCCGATATTTCTTGCAAAATTATTATAAATCACGTCATTACGAGCGAAATCGAAAATCGCTCGATTACAGAATTACAGGATTACACACGTTTCTCTCGCAAAATTCTCTCAAAGATCTCCGCTGCAAAACTAATCTTGCGATTTGAAACTGTATTACTTCATATTTTTGTGTGGCAAATTGAACATATTTCATCAGTGTATCTATAACTATCGACACGTAATAAGACCCTTACTTTTTGGAATTTTCTGGAAGGAATAAGCCGCCAAGCAATATTGTATCTCTCGATCCGCGCTTGTTGTTGCAACCTTTTATTTATTTATTTATTTTTTTTTTTAATTACCAATCGAAATCAGATATTTTTTTCGATGCGGCAGCGACTCGCCGATCGCACGAGCGTGTAAATAGACAAAACCATAGACAGTCCCGGTGAAAGTTGTGTCTTTACGCACGCGAATGTGTCCACTGACTCATGCTCTCGAAGAGCAATATCATTCGGTCTGCAATTTAGTTCGCCATTATTCGCCGTTCGTTAACAAATCTCGGAGAAAAAATCTCGATCGCGCCGTGAAAGAGCGCGCACGTTGTACGGGAGGGAGGGGGGGACTACGCTCGTTTGCGATTTATTTTCTTACGACTTATATTCAGGATTCGAAGCAATATATGCATGATGTTGACGCAACAGCGGCGCGTTAAAATTCCCGATAAATCGGAAGTCGGATGGAAAATCGAGAGAGCAGAGAGTCGGGAGAGAGTCGTCGTCGCTTCGTCTCGATGTCGCCGCCACCTACACGCAAATGAAAAAAAAAAAAAAAAAAGGAAAAAAAAAAAGTACCCTCAATGAGGAAATAATTTATTCGCTTTCAGGAATGTCAGGATTTCGCGAAATGTTTGATGGAGTGTCGACGACGAGAATATCGGAAGTGATTAAGACAAAGACGCAAACGCGACGTCGCGTCTTGTACCGTTCTTCGCATCGCGGCGCTCTTTGTCAACGTCGTCGCGTCGCGCGTATAAAAACCGCAGAATCCATTAAAAGCCATCAACCGAATTGCGGCCGACTCGTCAGTCATCTGCGATAAATATAACTTCGTTTACTTATTCGCGCTTTGATTGATGTGGCGAGATTTGCGGTCGATTTCTTGTTATTTTCCGCACCGGGGCGTCATCGCGCGTTTTGCTCATTCTCCCACTGATAATGCACTTTGCATTCTGTTCGCTCGACGCGTAAAATAACACGATAACTCATCTCTCTTTCCTCCTCCTCCTCTTTCTTCTCCTTCTCCCTCCAAAAGGAATTCGATCTTTTTATTCGATAAGCGGAACAACGTTATATTCGCAAATTCGTACAGTCATTCTCACACTCGAAGGAACATTGATCGCTTCGATTAAATTAAAATATGAAAAGTTTGATCGTATTCAAAAATAAAATCCGGATATCAGAACATCGGGGATGAAAAAGATTCCGGAACGCAAACTTCTGCGTTCTTGCGCGTGCGGTTATAAACTCGCGTGTAATCTGGCATTTACTCATCGCTCGCAAACGCGAGAGGGTTGGTTTATTTTTAAAGCACGAAATTACACCGGACCGAGAATACAACCGAGGGGGGGGGGAGAGGGATGAGGTGTCGATATTGACCCAGATGCGCCAAGTGCAAAGTCAATCAAAGCAATTTTACGCCATTCAATATAGCTAACGTATATACGTGGTCCGCGCGTTGTCGGAGTTAATTACCACGAGCGCGCGCGGTGAATCGATTAATCGATGAGAGAACGTTTCGTCCGGTTTCAGATTGCGCGGAGGTGCTTCCTCGCGCCGACGGTCCGAGCTACGGTGCTCGTCGTCGTTCTGACGTTGTTGTTGTCGAGCGAATTTAACGGGAGCGCGGCCGAACGATGGTCGCGTCAGGTATCCAACAGCGAGTGGATCCCGCTGGCTAATCCGCGGGCCGCGTCCGCCGTGTCTCATCTGTCGCAGAGCAACACGGCGAGCGACGGAGGTCATCTAGCCGGCGGCACGCACTTGCCGAATCCGATCGAATCGCTCGCGTTGCCGCCCGCTCTTCAGCAGCAATATCAGGAACAGTTGATTCAGCTGCAGAAGACGCAGGAACACATTCAGAAGCTTCTACTGCTGCAGCAGCAACTGCGAGCTCAGCAGCAGCTTCTTCAGGTACAGAGAGAAATGTGAATCTTTTTCCCGATTATTTGATTCGTATATTTCCGTATTTTTTTTTTTTTTTTAATTTAAGATTACAAAGAAGATCCCGCGTGAAAAGAAAATTCAAACGCCTATTCTTTTTCGAGAAACAAAAAGAGTTTAAAGAAAACACCTAGCAGTAACATTAGCTATTGGCTCTCTCAAGTTGCTTCTAAAATTAAAAAATTGAACATTGTACGATTTAAGTGTCTGCCAAAAGGTAAGAGATAAAATTTCCGCTCTGTTCTTCAGTCTCAGACGTTGACGCCCAGCGGTTTCAGCAACGCCGAGAACGAGAAACAGGCTTCGCCGAGCTCGTTGGGTAATTTGCGAACGCCGCCCGAATTATTAGAGCCGGAAGCTCTGATTCCGCCCCAGCCGTCCTCGGACGCGCTCCCACCGGTTTATCCTCCGCAGAACTTCCTGCATACACATAGACCAGGACAGAACATTCATCAGCATCAGAACGCGCACGTTAATCAGGAACTGACGAATTTGCCGATTCACGGTCAGATTGTGCTGCAGCAACACGGCCAGAACGGCGAGATCGCTGAGAACGTCTACGTAACGAAGCAGCAGCAGGGAGGTCATAGGCCCGACGAGAAACGTCCCAAGAGCCATCCGCACGCGCCTCCGATCGAAGCCGAGGAGGAGGAGGAGGAGGAGGTGCGTACACAATGAAAAAAAATCGCTTCGCTTTCTTTCTTCTTTCTCTGCGACATGCGCGATCTATCAAAGTTTCCATTGACCGATTTCTATACTTGTGCGTTTCCGCGATGGTTATCGCTATCGTTAGATTAGAACAGAACTGGAGCGTATATGTGGAATAAAGACACGGCATCTATTAAACCAACTGAAAACACCAGAAACTCGCGCGCGCGGCAATAAATTCCCGTAATTAACAAATTAAATTCAAGTCGCGCAATGCGTCTATTAACCAACTGAAAACACCAGAAACTCGCGCGCGCGGCAATAAATTCCCGTAATTAACAAATTAAATTCAAATCGCGCAATGCATCACAAACAAAATAATTGACTTTTAACTTGAAATTCAAAGGGTTTCCACGAAACCCGTGTAAGATAAACAATTTTTGATGAGTAATTACATTAAATTACTCGATTAACAAAATTGCTCAATGTATTTGCGTGTAGTAAATAATCAAATAACCGGATTTCGAGATGTATATTTTAACAGCAATAACTGATGTACACGTCGTATAGGTTCAACTGGTATACGTCCCGGCGGAAACATTGGCGCAGAGAGGTCAATCGAAGAGAGGTCGCGGAAGAAAGCAATATCCTGGTCGCCAGCAGCATCGGGAGAATCAAGAAAATATCGAGCAAACCTCGCTCTCGACGCCCGAGCAGGAGGCCTTTACGCGTCAAGTGCTGCAACAGATTCAGAAGGAGCACGAGGAGAAGGCGCACTTCTTGAAGGAGGAGCGCATGAAGGAATTCGTCCGATTAAACGAGGAACAGAAGGCGCTCGAACGAAAGGCGCGGTTGCAGCAGGAAGCTCTGCAAAGGGAGCAGGAATTGTTACGACAAAAGGAGGCGGAGAAGAAGCGGAAGGAGCTGGAGCGGATCGAGGAGATGGCGAAGCAGCGGGAACTTGAACGAATTCGCGAGACGCGGGAGAAACAGAGACTGGAGGAACTCGAGCGACGACGACTCGCTGAGCTTCGCGCCAAAGAGGAGAAACGTCGGGAAGAGGAGGCGGCTCGACAGCTCGAAGACAGAAGACAGAAGATAGAACAGCAAAGGCTTCTCGAGAGCCAACAACAACAACAAGAGGATCGATTGCGAGCCGGCAGTGGTCCCGGTTTGCTCCATCAGAACTCTCAGTCTCAGACTCTGCTACGCGAACAAGCGCGTCGTCCCGCTCATCTCGCGGACGGCAACAGAACGAAAAAGATTCGCGGCAGGCCACGTCAACGCGTCAGCCAGTATCAAGAACAATCCAACTTCCGCGAGCCCACAACCACACCGTCGCCCAATCAACCACCTCTATCCGTTTACATGGGCGGTTCCGCTTCCAGATTGGATTCCGTCAAAGTCACGGACGTTCTGAGAATCCTGAGAGACGCGAAGACCATCGCCGTTCTGGACAACGTCGGACCTAACGCGCCGCAAGTCTTCGTGGGACCTTCGAATCTGGATCCTCCCTACGGATACGCGAAGTTCGATCTTCCCTATTTGTCGTCGATCGATCACAACAGAGTGGAGCGCAAAGTCGACAAGCTTCCCTTCTTCGTGGCGCCGCTCAGTTTCGATCCGCCACCCGGTTATTCGAAAATTCCTTTCCCCGCGCCGCATATCGGTTCCGTCGTCGTTAACACGCTCTCCGATTCGACCCCGGAACCGGACACACCCGCCCAAAATCCCAATCCCGCGCCGCTGATCGAGCCGAACTCGTACAGCGACGCCGATCAAAGCGGATCCATCGCGGCAAGCACCGCGTCTTACGACTCTCCGAGCACTTCTTCTCCAAACTTCGCCCCGGCGGAATCCGGCAAATCCAAATATCACGAGCCCGCTTATTCGGCCCCGTCCTCAGGCTCGAGATTTCGATTCAGACAGTACTACGACAACAAACCAACTTCGGTGATCAGCACCTCGTATTACGGCGAACATTCGGCGAATAAACCTAAACAGCACGAGCAAGAGAAACTGATTCATCAATCACCCAAACACGACACAACAGTCAGCTACAGACAAGAAGTGTCCCATTCCGGTTCATCGAGTTTCCAAGAGAAGACGCACGAATCTTCGCAGGATCCGTCCACGAAGACGCAGGATCTGGCCGCTCAATTGGCGCTCATCAATCAGGAACTCTCTCAACAGAGAGAAGGTCAAAACGGCGAGCAGTACCAGTCCCAGGTTCATCTCAGAGAATCGTACGACGCCAATGACGTGAGAATGCCGCTCGGATCGCGGTACAATTTGCCGGCGGAGTTGCCGCCGATATCGCCGCAACTGCCGGGATTGGTGAATTCGTTGGTTGACAAACAGGAAGCAAACGATCATCCCGGCTCGTCGACGCCGACGACGACGACCGCGGCGCCGACGACGACGACGACCGCTCGTGTGAGTTCCACGACTTACAGACCGCGAGGAAGGTGAGTGTTTTTGGTTTTGTTAAAACTATTTTTTAGAAATTGAGAAGACAATCGTGCGAGATTCCGGGTTCGATTTTTGGCCGAGGTGTTTTTCTCGCAATATATTTTAAAATTATATAGGGGGCGTTTCTAAAATTATACGCGGGCATTTATTTATCATACGACATGGAAAATATAGCATTTTGTATGAATTTACGAATTGAAATTTTAATTCAAAAATTCACGTGTAAAATTTACACAAAGAAATACAAAAACATATATATATTTATTTTGCAACAAACAGCCAGCGTAAGGCTCTTATTAACCGTATTGTTAGTTTTCTATTTTTTATATTTTTAAACTGTATTTTTTAGATTTTTTTAATTATATTATTTTACTTATTATTTTTATCGTTTTTCTAAATTTGTTTACGAGTAGAACTTTGATGTTAATTATAATATGAAACAATTTACATGTTTTTCATGAATAAATTTTGTTGATGTAGTGAAGTAGCGCGTTGTTTTCGCAATATCGAAAGACATGAAAGTTCTTCCCGCAAAACTGTCGCGTGTAAAACTTCTCGCGTTATCTAAGACAGAAATGTGTGTTCGAGATCGTATAAAGCGTCACGTATAATTCTCGTACACGTTCTCGTGAATATTGTCAGAGTGGCGGTAATACATTAGAATTTTTCTGACCATACCAGGAACCGAGTCGTGCCCACAAGACCGAGAACGACTCAGGCATCCGGCAAAACGAGCGAGAAAACCCGACCGACAAGACCTACGTACAATAGATCCAAGTCCAGATTTACGACCACCACGGAGGATTATCGCGAGACCTACGAGCCGACGAAGTCGAAAACGTCAGAGACCGTCACGCAGAAATACAACACGGTGGAAACACAGAAGAGACCCACACCCAGAACGCAGAAGTACAGAAATCGAGACAAAGCGAGTTCTCAGTCCGCGGTACGGAATTTTTGATTTTTAACTCCATTTTTAATTTTTCACGTTTCCGGAGACCGCGACTTCTTTAAATCTTGGAACTTCGAAAGAATTTTAAAAAAGAGTCGGAGACATAAATATTTTCGACTTCTCGAGAGCCGACTGTCTTTTTATAAATCGTAGAATTTTGAAAGACGCTTTTTATATACCTATCTCAAAACACATTTTCTCTCAAATTCAGAACCAGAACGTTCAGACCTTCGAGAATTATCCGATTCAGAGCGACTCGCAGAGCAACGCAGGGTCGCCGCCCGACGTCTCGCCGACAAGCGAACCCGCCGCCGCTTCCAATCAAAAGGAAACCGGGGTGAGCGATTACACCCGGGAGAATTATCCGCCGACCGCTCCCACGCAGACCGAGAACTATCCGTTGTTGCGCGAGGTCACGGTTCAACACGGCACGCCCTTGATTTCCGACGATTACGCGGGAAGTCAGAATTATCCGTCGCAAAATCGTCCCCAAGAAGCTCACTATCAACAACAACAACAGAGCGGCGCGGCGACGTACGAGCAGAACGGCAGCTTCCAGGAGACGGGATTGGAGAAGACGCCCGTGAACGGATTCAATTATCAAGTTGCGAGCTCGCCAATGGATCCCCAGAGAGAAGGCGCCAAGGATTATTCGCGCTACCAGGAGAAACTCGAGGACGCTTACAACCTGGCGAGCACCGAGGATCCGCGTTTACGTGCCGACGAGGAACATCGATATTCTCCCATTTACGAGGTCAATGTGGCGCAAACTCAGCCGAATTACAACGCCGGCGGGGAGAATTTGTTCCGCAACGACGGCAAACTGGAAAACGAAGGAGCGATAGATGCGGATCCGAACGCGACGCCGATCTTCGTCCCGCTACAGCAGAGCAAGCAGGAAGAATACGAACTGCAGATTCCTTCCACGGAACAGCCGCTTATCGAAGTACAAAGAGGAAATAATATTGATTTTTCCGAAATTTATTTCTGTTTTTTTTTTTTTTTTTTTTTCCAGAAAATAGAAAAGAACCGATGAAACATAGTAGATCAAATTAACGTATTAACAGTGAAAGATGTGAACTTGCTATTTCAAATCATTTTCGTTCCAGATCGCTACGACCAGCACGACCACTCAGGCGCCCGTAATAATACGACAGCGAGTTCGGGGTCGGCTCGGGGGTAGCAGTCGTCCTCATCACGACTCCGCGATTCAGACGCGACCCCGCGGATCTCAGGACGAGTACGTTCGCTTCAGCGCCGTAAATCACGATCGCGTTACGCACAGAAATCGTGACAAAACGAGAACGCGCGCCCGTCCGTCGCAAGGAGGATCGTCGCAGGCCGATAATAATAACAACGAGTACATAAAGTTGCACGCGGCTCAGCAGCAAAAGCTGGTAGCCACAACCCTGTCGCCGCAGACGACGACAACGACCACAACGACCACGAGCGTTCCCGAAGAGGATGTCGATTACGGATTCATAAGACCGCCCAGTTTCAGCCCGGTGCATCCGGTGCAACCGATTCATCCGGCCGATCAAAGATTCCAAGCGCCCATCACGTATCGACCTAATCTGTCCGAGGTACGTTTATTTTTGATGGAAAATAAAAATGAAAGGAAAACAAATTTCTTTTTCCACTGATAATTTAATTTAAAAGTAAAAATTTTGAGAGAAGCATCAAGATAATAAATTCTAGAATAAAAGCGAACTAAAACTTGTAAATTTTTCTCTCTTTTTTTTCTCTCTCTTTATCTAAATCGTTCGTTCGGTCTAAATCTTCTCTCGCGCGATGTCAGACAAGAGCCAGTTTTTGCGACACACTTTGGGATAAAAATTTCTGTTTAATCCCATCGATTGTTTCAACGCACGTTGCAATATATGTATATCGCGCCGCACGGAAGTGATACTTTTTCGGGAAAGTAACACTGCGCACTCTACACTCGCCGCAGATACAGCACATAATTCCCAACGACGAGACGGCGGTGGAATCGAGTCCGACGCACATTCTGAAGAATCGTCCGAAGTACCAACAGATCCCGATTCGTCGTCCGACGACCACGAAAGTGTTCGCGACGACGACAACGAGCACGACGACAACGGAGGCCGTACCTGTTGCGACGACGATACCGGACGATGCCACCGTGTACGCGACGAAGACGACCGTAAGAACGGACGAGCAGAAGAGGTTGCGAGGAAGAACTCGCCGACCGGCAAAGAAACGCGTCACCACCACCACAACGGAATCCGGTCTCGATGCGAACAACGAACTGCCGCTGGACGAGAACTATCCTCGATTAACGTCGCAGCAACTGGCGGTGACGGGACAGCCGCCTCTTTACGACGATTCCAATTTCGAGGTCGCGCCGCAAGTCGCGCCGAATCAGAATCGACAGTCGCAGTTTTACGAAGAGAACGGCGAAAATGTAAATAGAGATTTTTCTGAAGTTTCACAAGTGACATTCGAAAGACATTCAAGCGCGTCTGACAATCCAATTTTTTGATATTAGAAGAGACATTCGGAAAGAAACGAGACGCGAATTATCTTAAATTATTTTTGCTCTCATATTTTCAATATAAAAATTTAAAATATTCTCGTTCGAAATTTTTTTTTTTTTCTATTTATACGTGGTTCGATCAAATTGAGACGAAACTAATTGAAGAGCTGATCGAACCACGTATAAATAAAAAAAAAAATTTTTAACCTGGAAAGAAGACTGGCTTGGATAGAAACATATAAACATGGACATCCTGGAAGAGATGGTCCGAGTAATTTAAACGCTTTCAGTTAGTCCCGTTTTTAAAAATCACTAGAGTAAAACAATTTGAATCACAACAACTATCAAACAAGATGATTTCTTACAAAATCAAAACAGTAATAAACTCACAACCGAACAGCGACAATATCTCGCGCGTCGCTATTTTACTCCCTTGGCCAAATGTGAAAAGACGTGCGCAAAAATCCGAATGTTATTTGATCAAACCAACGTGATACATGCTTTTCTTTTATTTTATTTTTTTTTTTTAATTCTCTCGCGAGAGAAAGAACGTTATTTCGCCGAATTTATTAAATGTAACGTGTGTTTCTGTATATATATAGTATCCACAGGAGTTTCTTCTGAACTTCGGCAATCCGGAGCAGGTGTCGCAACAGGACGAATATGATCAGACGCAGCTGGCCAGCGTGTCGTCGAAGAAATACAGTCAATCGACTCGCGGCGACTCAACCGGCGACATTTACGGCGCGGAGAGCCAATGGTCCACGAAGCTCTCGAAGACGTCGTTCCAGCCGAGCTTCGCCACAAATCGAATAGCCGACGAATCGAAAAGAAACCGCGTCAGAAACAACAACGCGCATGAAAACGCGCCCGAGATTATTACGGCCGGACCGGAAGTGCCATCGGTGACGATGGTTGTCTCTTCCGATTATCAGAAGCGCGTGTACACGGGCGACGTGAGCGCGATGATGGACACCACCGACTTCGGAAGGAAGACGAACGCGAGGGATCACACGGAGAAATTGAACGGCACGACGAGCAGCTCTTCGACGACAATGCTTCGAGATCGGGTTCAAAGTGATAAGGAATCTCTAGAAATGCAAGATTGGATGTCGTACAAGAATGAGAACTCGGCCGAGCCGACGGACGATTTCGCGAAGGTGACGAGAAAAATTGCTGATCCTCTAATCAGAAAGGTAAGATGTTCGAATTGCACAAAAACCTTTGAAAGATATTAAAAATTACAAAAAAAAAAAAACATTCAAAAATATTTTTATATCTTATCAATTGTTTTTATTTACATTTTAAATCTCTTTATTTTTTAAATTTGTTCTTCAGACCCGAAGACGGAGAGTCCGCGTGCGAGTGAGACCTGCTCCCACGGACGATTTCGTCACCGCCGAGTCCCAACACTTCAATTCCGCGGTTAACAGTCTGGTTCAAAACGAGTACAAGTACAATCCGATTCGCGAATCGAAACCTATCACCACCGCCGAGCCGATCGCGACGAGCGTCACCGCTACGACTGTCACAGAGGCGATACGGAAGTCGCTGCTGCAGGACTTTCTGGAGGAGATGCTGAAGAACGACGAGGTCTCCATTCCGACCCGCGTCACCGTCGGCACCACGGAACTGCCCGATTGGACGATGACGACGCCGATGACAACGCCGTACGCTGAGATCACGACCCTGATAGAGAACCACACGTCGATCGGCACGACGTTGGCACCGAACGTGGTCGCGGAACGCGTCACGACGACCGATTCGCCCGACTTGAAGGAAGATTCGCGAGAAGCGACGTCGTTCGAATCGAGCGACGTGCGAAAGGAAACGAAATCGGAGGATTACTGGGACAAAAATTCCCAAGAGAACAAAAGCGAGCAGAACAATCTGGAAAACGTCGAATTCAGCGAGAACTACAACCTGCCGTCGCATTATCCCGACGGGTCGGGAACTTCAAAGGAGATCGAGGACACGATCGCGGAAATGACGGCGTTTCCGGTTGTGAATCAGGAGATACGAAAACTGAGCGTCGTCCAGAAGGAGAAGGAGCACATAATGACGCTGAGAAAGAAGCAGGAGGAGGTGAACGTCGAGGAGAACGAGGCTCATCCGAAGAATCACCGAACCAAGTGGAGCGAGGTGAGATATCCGTCCGTCTTCGACAAAACCGCGTCGAAATTGCACTCGACGACGTCCGTTCCCGGTGTCGTCACGCAGAACGAGAAGGAAGACAGCGGCGTGAAGACGCTCTCTGATTACGTGAAGGCCATTTTCGACACTATGAAGAGCGCCGAGAAGGAGGAGGAGGAAGAGGTCGCGAAGGTGGTGGAGACCAAGAATGAAAATCCTACTGCTAATAACGACGTCGCACCGATACGTAGAACAGACGCCGAGAAAGAATTCGAGGGAATCGATCGTTGGAGAACCGACGCGACCGAACATATGCGGGACGCTTACGCGACGGAACGTGTCGAGGAAAAGACAACGAGCGCTTTCGAAGAAGAAGATCCAAGTGTCACGGAAGAAGCGACGACGAAGGAGAGCGTCACGAGATTCGAAACAACAACCGCACAAATACCGGACACGACCACGATCGCGCCGCTCGAAGAGACGACGCAGGAGTTTCCCACGACTACCACGACGACAACATCGATCAAACAAACCACCGATGTTAAAACCAATTCCACGGAAACGACGTTGGGCAAGATTCTGAGAACCTCGACCACCACGAAGGTGTCGCACATGACGGAGATCTGCTACAGGGGACGGTGCGTGATGACGAGACCCAGGGACGTAATGAGGAGATGAGGAACTTAACGGAGGAATGACATCGCGCGCGATATATCCTTTTCCGTCCGGTTGCAAAGGAAACGCGGTAAACGAACAATTTCTTTGGGAAGTATATTGTTTAAATGAGAGACACACGTGTAGAGAGAAAAAATTCTATTAGAAAGATTTGCGCGATAATTAAAAAAATTTATGAGAAAAAACTGCCGGACGGAAAAGTGTAAATTTTTGGAAATCTCTTATTTATTATGTATCCTCTGTACCGTCTAATTGTAAATGTAAATCTAATTTTTATACGCGTTCTATTTTAAAAAAGCTATACGTATATTAACATCTTCGAAATTTTGAAAACACAAACATCACAATGTTTTACATTGAAGTTCATTTAATCTCTTGGTACCGCATAAAAAAAGATATTATTTTTAATATTTACGTTGTTAAAAAAAAAACGAAGAAAGAAGCGTTATTAATTCTCGCATCGCGCGTGCGAAGAAGGAGAATAAAGTTTTCGCCCCGCTTAAAAAATATCAACCGAATTGCCGATTCAGGACGTTACACGTTGAATTGATTATGTCGAACGAAGCTTCCGGCTTCGTACGTAAATATGTAAGCGAATGATCAATGCTCTCCGGGGGCGCGTTCATTTGGGAGGAGAGGTGTTTTATCGCTATAGGGAGATGCGCGCTGTATCGCTCAAGATGTCGTGACAAATTATCGTGTGTCGGGAGGATTAAGGGCGAAAATACCAGCGTGATCACATCGGCCGTGAAGATGCGGAAAGGACGGACACACACACACGCGCGCGCGCGCGCGCACGCACACACACACACACACACGTTCCCTTCAGATAAGAAAATTCCGCCGTCGTCGTTGCGCCGGCAAATCGATCCGTCCCGTCGCGACGCGTGCTTATGTAAAAAAAAAGGCGCGCGCGCCGAGAGTGTCCTTCCGGGGAGGATCAAAGCTCGCGCTCGACTTGCGTTCTTGCAACCCGCGAGCAACCACGTGTGTGAACGTGTCGCTTAAAAAAAAAAAAAAAAAAAAAAAACACGTTAGGGAGTTTAAGTATCTATTTAATTTAATTATATATATATACCTGTGTATATGCGTAAGTTGAGCGTGGAAGTATATTTTAAATAAAGACATGAGAAAACGAACGGAGACACCCTTTTCCACTTTCCCCAATAACCCGAGAGCGCGCGCCGAGGGTTTTTATTTTCATTTTTCTAACACCCGATGCGCTATATTTATAGATTTTTTTTTATCGAGGCAAAGATTGAGAGCTGAACAAATCCGAGCGTACGAAATATAATTTTCGAAAGTTTAACTTCGTTTTAAAATTTGTTTAAAATATTGTATTTACTCAAAAATACTGAGTAAATATTGTATTATACTCAAAACTTTGTCTTATTGTATTGATACTCAAGATATTTTATAGTTCTTTCTCGTGTGAGTAAATATATAAATACCTGCGTGGCGCACAATTGTTTTGTTACGATGAATTAACCCTTTGATGGCAGGATCACTCGAGACCCGATAGGTGTTCAAGTTACAGATATATACATACGCGTGATTAAATTTATTTACAATAATAATAAATAAAATACATGTAAAAAAAATAATTACATTTAAGAAAATAATGAAAAACTATGTACAATATATTGATTAAAGTACGGATGGAAAAGTGATCGCGGTAAGTAAGACCATCGTTGTTCCGAACACTTTTGCTTCAATCCCGAGAGGCGACTTTGATCCCGCGCGCGTCAGCCGAAATCCGCCCTCGTCGCGCCATCATCGATCGGCGAGCTACAACCCCGCGCGTGCAGATGGTGCCACGTCACGGAGGGGGTGAGAATTTCCAACCGTATATATATATATCGGCGGTAGGGAGATGCTCGGTAGGGGTTGCTCGCCCCGATGTACGTCGTCACCGCGCGAGTGGACGACTAGGGGCCACGTAGGCGGCGAAGGGCGAAGCGAGAGGGTTCGCATTGGGGAAGGGGTGCGCGCGGCGAGAGAGAAAGCGAACTAGGAACGACGTAGTGAGAGGAGTCACAGTCCAGTTGAGGCGAAAGAGTCCTCCGGCTAAGGACTTTACGGGTCCCTGGCAGTCCGGGACATTATGCCAGGCGGCGAGGGGTCCCCGATCAATCTCCTCGATCACCACCTCCACCACCACCATCGAGCGTCACCGACCACTACCGCTGCCACCACGTCCGGCGCGACGACGGACGACGAGTGCGCGAACGGTGACGATGTCAGGACCGCCGCTGCCGCGGCATCATCGACGACGGCGACGACGACGGACACCGGCGCGACCTTCAGCAGCGCGATGACGAGCGCCCTAGCGGGCGACGGTCTCCGTCGCAGAAAGGTCATACACGCGGCCAAGGAGACCCTCGACAAGGGTGAGTTCTCTCTCAAGGAGATCCCCCTTTGTTTCTTCCCTTCTGTCTTTTTCATTTTGTTTTTTTTTTTTCTTTTTGTCTTTTTTGTTTTATACTCGCTCTCGTCTCTCTTACGAAACCTCGCGCAATCGCTCGACGATCGCGGGGCACCGAAAATAATCCCAGCGACTCGACCGTTCCCGAGTGCGGTTATCGGAATCGATCTTCTCTTCGCCCGCGACGCGGGGATATCGCCTGACGCACGATGAGGATGGAGCACACGGGGGTGCGATTCGTTTCTTCGTTCGCCGCGAGAGATCGAAGCCGAACGTTGCGCCTATATAAACGCCGATATAACACGCGAGTAGTTCTTTTTTATTTGAATCGACTGTGTGTATATTACGCACGTCGGTTTTCGCTAGTTCACGAATCAGTGACCGGGAGATACAGACATGGACTGGATATTCAATCCTCACACAGAGAGAGAGAGATCCAAGAATCCTCCTCCTTCCCCTTGATTCTTTGAGTTTCTTCGATGAAAACTCGAAATGTTCCGTCGAGTTTTTTTGTTTTTTTATTAATTTCGCGAAAATGCATTTAATTCAATTCTGTTTAATATTAATTATTATTAAAATCGGTACCTACGTAAATACACACACACACACACACACACACACACACGAGGATTTTATTAATGCGCAAGAGTTTATAATCGCGTTATTAACGCTCGCGCGAGCGTAATCGTTAATATTGTGCGGGAATCGTTCTCTATTTGGTACATTCGCGAACGAACTCATCGAAACTCATAAATAATACATAAACAGGAGTTCGATGAATTCACGCGGGCAAGGTTTTCAGCGATAAGACGAAACCACGGAGCGCGCTTGATTCGCAACGATAAATATCATTGCGATCGGATCATGTTTTATGTCATGTGTTCGAGCTCTTTTGTTTTACGGCAACGACGTCGTCGGTCGGTCTGTTTTACCTTTAGACCGCCATGTTGCGGTCGCATTTTCGGAATGGTTTCTGTGTTTCGAGTTATATGACACATTTTTAACTGCCGCGATACGTCGGGATAAAATCTGTATCCCGATCGAAAAAAAATTTGAATTGAATTCGAAATTAATTTTCTCTTTTTCTCTATTTCCGGACGGACGGACGGACGGAACGCGTTTTTTTTTCCACTCAGAAAAAAAGAGGGATGCTTCCCTCCCGCGTTTTCCGTGCAATTTAGATTTTCTTTGTTAAACACCCTACGTTCACGCACACATGTGTGTCGCAACCGCGATTACACGAGTGTATTCCCCGACTTCGTTGGGGAAAGAGAACCAGCCACGGCGCCGCGATGCTTTTGTTTCTTCGCGGATCCGATTTGACGATTCCTCGATTTCCAGATCGCAATTGGTCAATTCCGACGTTTTGCTTTGGTTCATTATGAAAACAAAAAAAAAAAAGAAACACTGCCGCAAGCTTTACACGGCCAAAATGTCTTCTTTTCTTTCTCTCTTTTTCTTTTCCTTTTTTACGCTCGGCCAACTTTAACATTTGGCGTAGTTTTTTTTGTGCGCCCACGAGTTACGTAAGAATCCCTCGCACGTGGACCGAATGCATTATGTACAGCCGAAATGCTCTTTAAAACATTTTTGTAAAATTTCTCACAAATACCTTATCTCTCTCTCTCTCTTTTTCTTGATTATCTCGTTCGCGATTCTCGTACAGCGGAAAGATTAGATTTTTACATGAAAAAATGTTGACGAAATATAATCCTCTCTGTATTTCAGAATTCAGTTGAGAAAGAACGATTTCGAAAACACTCGCGTCATATCGTATGAGATATGATAAAAAAAAATTACGAAATATAATTTTCGCGATGCAAAATATCAAGAATTGAATCGTGGCTCGGCTCTCGTAAAACGGCACGTAAAATTCTAACGCCGAAGTTCGGTTTTGTTCCCAAAACCGTTCTTGTTAACTAACCAAATTTGATTAGCGCGAAGTCGAGAAGCACGGAAACTCTTCAATTCCAACGAAAACAACGTTAACCCGAATTCGTTGAGCGCGGCCTGATGGGGAAACTTGCCTGATGCAAAATAACAAACGTGTATAAGACATTTATTGCTCCGCATCAGTGTCCGATTGAACTCCTGATTCGAAGTGCAATCAATAAACGAAGAGGGAGATTCCTCGGATCGGACGAATTTCCATATCGCGCGCGATATTCTCTCGTCGAAACGTTGTGATCATTAAAAAGAGGAGACAGCAGAAAAGGAGAAACAGCAGTTGTATAAAAAAGTCAAAAAAGAAGGTCTGAAGAAAGCGGCTCTCTCTCTCTCTCTCAGAAAGTATAAAGCGAAGTGAAATGTTGTTTGACGTTCGGTAATGTCGGTCTCAATCGCGCTGTTCGCGAACACACAACTACTCGACCTGTTTTTGTGTCACAATTGCGCATCGAACCAAAATGATGCGCCCCGCACTGTGCATTATAGCCGCCCTCTCCTTCACGTTCCCCTCCTTTGTTCTGCATAAGCGTGTGGTGTATTACACACTGATTGCCGGCAACTCGAAGCGACGGTTTATATTGACTTCGAGTAGGCGACACATTATTTGCCGCGAAATTTATGTCGCACAATTCCGACGCAAATTTCGAGTGATAAACGATCCTCGCTGAATCGGAGGATGAATAAACCGAGCGTCGAGCCGAGAACACACGCGCGTCTATCTTCGTGTTCTCTCGTTTATTCAACGATTATTATATGTATGAGACATTTTTTTTATATTTTCTCTCCGTGAAACACGAACGCGTTGCAACATCGTAAATTTTTTTTTTTTTCTGAACACGTCTCTTCGATCTCGCCACCGCGTTTTTCGCGGTAATAAATTTTTTTTTTTTACACCCACCGAAGGTCTGTGAAGCAACGTGTCCGACGTGTTACGCGACTCTGTCAAATTACGTCTGTGAGATTAGGATAAAGAGACTTATATATACACTCCGCTGGCAGTAGCCCCGGCGGTTATATCATTGTTAGGGGAAAAAAAAAAAAACGTAGCGGAAAGAGACTCATGTAATATCCATATTTTGCAAGGGAGGATGTCGTAACGTGGCGCGGTAATACGATCGATTTTCGATTAGCGGATATATACGCGAGATGTACGAGAGCGAGTTTGTAATAAAAATAACTTGACACTATGTGGAAAAATATAATACACACCGTTAAAAAAGGAGAAGAGAGAGAGAGAGAGAGCGAGAGAGAGAGAGAGAGAGAGAGAAAAAGAAAGAAAGAAAGAAAGAGAGAGAGGAAACTAAAGGCTAAATGGCGGGCTTAAAAATAATCGATTTAACGGCAAATCTTAATTTAGCCGCCAGTCGTAACACGCGCAGCGAACTTCGATTGTCTTTAATCCGCGGAGACGGATTTTGTGTCTGAGAAAAATCGCGAAATCGCTCGATTTTTTTCGGGGGGGAGGGGGGAGAGAACACAAAACTCTTCGAAAATGTTACTACGTCCCGCTTTTCACGGCGCTGACGTTTTTTTTCGAGCCACGGCCGTTGTTGTTGCCCCCCATTGATGTCATCGGACTGCGAGTGTAGACAAACGTGGTTCTCCTCGTGCATCGACCTCATTCCGAGGTTACCGAGTCGATAAGGCATTGCCGGTGTGGAAAAAGTGTACATACTCGCGTGACGCACGACAGCGCGATCGCCATCGCGAGGTTACGAATTCGCGTGCGGCTCGCAACAAATATATCAGCGAGCAGAGGCCCCTCTTTAAGGAAACAAAACACAAGCTTTGTTGTTTTCTTCGCTCAACCGTAACGGCATCTACCGAAAAAATTCGCGGTCGAATTCATTTTTGTAATATCGAGCGGCTAGCTAATTCCCTTCTCCCTCTTTTTGTTCGTCTTCGTCTTCGTCGTTGACTTCGTCTCGCTTAATTCTTATTTTATTGTTATACGCGCTCTGACTTTCAACTTCAATCAATCGAGAACAAGATTTAAGAAAACGAACCTTCTCCGAAGGTTAAATAAAGTTTCTTCTCGCGCGTGCTGTGCTGTTCGCGCTTTACTGCGACAAAATCTGATTTGATAGTTGTCTGCAAGGAATTTGCAGTGTAGCGTTTGTGTAGCGCACAAAGCGCTATGTATAATCCGAATATATATACATATATATACACAAGACGTGTGTATGTGCCGACAATGTGTGTTCTCTCCAAACACAGACGTGTCTGTGCACAATTGCCGTTTAATTGTCGCGAGCGGAACAGCTCGTCTTTTGCGACGCGCGCCTGAACGATGATGAAGTTAAACGAAGTTTCGCGGACAACGGAAGCGCGCGATTCGAGACGATCGCGCGTCCGTAATTTCCGCGTTTTGTGCCCGCACGTCGAGAGATGGAAGATGTGTGCACATTCACGGAGAAAGAGCGAGAGAGAGAATATGCACATACATATATACATATATATATACGTACGATTGCATATATACGGTGTGACGTAAGAGGTACACTCCGCCCGCCCTCCGAGCATCTCATCCCTCCGCCCCTTAAATCAGATGCGCCGGCAGCATTTCAGCAACGGTTCATCCGAAGGGATTTCGGAATGGGGACTCTCCTAGGCAGCTTAACCACGGCGTATATTCGAGATCTCGGAGGTGCGAATTTCCGGCCTGGCTCGCCAGTTATTAATTATCCAAATAACTCGAAGCGCGCGCGCGCGCGCAAACTTTGCGGCGTACCGGAATAATATTCGAGAGACGCGTGTGAAATTAATAAAATCTCTTGTGTTCGAATCTCTCTTCTCTTTTTATCGTTACGTTTGCACATATATTGAAAAAAAAAAAATATATCTCATCTCTCATGGTACATTTAAGTGATGGAGGTTTTGCAATTAAGCGATGAAATTTGTGATTTTGCAATATTTATATTATTTGAACGCGGAGAACGGTATTTGCTCTCTTTAGATATATCAGATCCTTCGAAGAACTGGGTCACACATTCGTATTCCGCCGAATAATCAAGAAGTAGCTCCGCGCGTGTGTATACGCGAATATATATAACAAATATATAAAATATATATGTTAAAATATTTTATTTGTTTTATTAATTAAATATATATCTGTATAGTTGTCGATATGGTAACTTAACTAAAAACCATGTAAATATCCATTGGGGAAGGAGGAGGGAGTCTCGAGTGATCCAGCGATTGCCAACGGGAAGGATCGGGAGATGAAATATTGGTGGGATGGCTGTATTTCGTTTCGCACGAAACCAAATGTCTCCTTAAGTTCCACTGGAACACGCGGAATTGAAAAGCGCCGCCGCACGAGAATATATCGTGACTACCCTCTTTTTTATCGCGCACGAAAATCACGGACGGATGCTAATGAGACTCGTAACCGTGCAATTAAATCTTGAAGATACGAAAGTTGGAAAATACGAGATAATTCGGATACACTCGCATCGACAATAGTTCTGGCCACCAACCACGCCACTGGAACTTTGCCATCTTATTTACGTTTATATTTACCCTTACATTGTTTCTGTATTGTTGGGTGAGCTCCAAGAGTAGCGATATAACAGCGATTCAACGTATAAAGACGGTGTATCGTTGCGTGTGTTTCTGGTATGGTAACTATATTGTTGCTTTTATAGACGCGATTTTGAAAGAAAGAAAAACTTCTCTTTTTTAGCGAAGTTTCATAAGGTAAAACTCTCTCTCTCTCTCTCTCTCTCTCTCTCTCTCTCTCTCCTTCTCTCAAAACATATAAGATAAATTTAAATTACATTTTAAGCAGAAGAAAAAAATGTGCAATGCGCGCGAGACGACGCGCATCTCTTCAGTTTATCTGGCGAGTTCGAAAATTGAGTTTGGTGGATAAGTCGAGGAATTTCCGAGACGTTTTTACGAGCGATATATCTCGACCGGATTTGGAAAGTTTCGCGGATGCGACGTGGATGAATGTCCACGTTCGGAAGCGTTCGGGCTTGAACGCTTTCGGAGACACGGCCCGGCATAATTGCGCGCACTTAATCTTTGCGCTGAAGATTTTTAATCATCGCACGCCTACGTGTACGTTAAGATTAATGCATCAGCCAAAAGCGGTCGGTACTCTCTCTCCTCTCTCTCTCCTCTCTCTCTCTCTCTCTCTCTCTCTCTCTCTCTCTCTCTCTCTCTCTCTTTGCGGACCGCGGTATAATTTATCTCGCAGTTTCTCTTACACGTGTTCTCGGCGAAAGGTCGATTCCTACGTCAATCGACTTCTCAACCGTAGTTAAATTGTTTTCCTTCGTCCCTTTCTGCAAACCGAGGAACAATTAAACTACGTCGAAGTTACGCTGACATCTCCGAAGGGATCTACACGTCGTTCATAGACTTAGAGAAACGTTCATCAAACAAAAATTGACACACGCAACACAAAGTAAATATTTTACAATACGTAAATCGTCTTTCTCTCGTCTGCTCTCTTTTTTTTTTTAATATTTTTTATTTAAAATAAACACAGTGTTGTGTGCGGTTTGTGAACACAGAATGTTTCGAAACACACCACACTGAAATTCACGACGATAAAAAAAAAAAAAAAGTCTCACGCAAAACATTTGCGTACCGATATACAAGTCGAGATAAATTGTTCGCGGCACAAGAATCGATGTCCTCATTTTTCTCATTAAAGATATAACGCGTTTGTTTCAACTACACATCGGGTATGAAATTTTCAACGCGTTTTCTCGCGAGAGAAGTGGAGAAAGATCATTTGTGTCTCTCTATTTCGGGAATCGTTTAACATTGCAATATACGCGACTTTTATTCTCTCGATAATGATATGTCAGGGATTGTGACGATATAATTTGAAAATCGATTTTCTAAATGAGTAAACGAGAACACTCGCCGCGCCACGTCCAGTGGTTAAGGCAACGCGCGCGCGCGCGCGTGCGCTCTCTCATCCTTGTCGGTTTCTACGTAATTAAATAATATATATATATATATATAGCGCACACGTGTCATTTTAATAAACAACAACAAACGAAAAGTTTGTTGTTTCGCGGAAGTTGCGCAAAACCGATCGTGTAAACGAGAGATTAAAACTACTGCCGCGTGTGTATACACGTACAGGGAACACAGTTTGCGCAAAATTTATATTCCGAAGTAAGAAAATACGTGGGTGTACTTTACACATGTCTCGTCTCTGATGCAATTTCAACGATTCTAACAGTCGCACGTGTTTTCTTTTTCTGTTTTGCAGCATCTCGTCTTCTGAGACGAAAAATACCATGTACAGGCCATCTGATGACCCCCCGCCGCCTATGGATCCAAAAGGTTCCTACACAGGTACGTATTCGATATTACTTGACGAAGCGATTGAAAATAATGTTTTTCTTTTTCTGTTTTTTTTTTTTTTTTTTTTTTTTAGTAGAGAAATAAAATCTCCATGAAATGTTTGATCGCGGAATCGTCGTCGCGTGTGCATATAAGTTCGACGCACGATTTCGCACAAAATCGTCCAAATGTGGAAATTGAATTTCCTCGACGCGCGTAAAGCACACACACACACACACAATTGTTATTTTGTTTGTAATTAACGCGATTAAACAAATATCGCGTTTGACAATTGGAGAGCGCTCGGGAAATATATTTCACAATTTCGGACACAGTGTCGTGCAGCATTGAAATTTAGAAAATTTCAATTTCATTACGCTCGCGAGAGCGATAATGCAATTATTTACGTAAGTAAATTAGTTATCGATTGCGAAACGATATTCAAATTACCGCTGAAACGCGAGACTCGCTTTGGTCATTCGCGGAGTTTTTAATAACGTCTCTCTTTTTTTCTTTTTTTTTTAATAACGTTTCTTTTGTCCGACAAACACGAAAGGCACACACGCGCCGCTCTCGTTCGATAATGCAATGTCCTTTCTATTTTTTTTTTTTTTTTTACACGCTCGATCATCACGATCGCAGCGATAAATGACAAGTTCTGTGTGTGTTACCATTAGCGGGATAGGTACTCAGAAGACTCTTTCTCTTTCTCTCCGTTTTTTTCCCATGACGATCTACTCGAGCACTCGCTGTGTATTACAAGCTCGCATTCAAGTGGTGCCATGAAAAACCGACTCGAGACGTAAAGAGACGCACATTTCCGCAAAAGGAATAATAACGAACGCGACAAAAGCAAACCTTGTTCCGAGATATTTTTTTTTTTTTTTTGTTTTCGTTTTGTTTTCACTCAACGAGAAAATGCGCACAAAAATGAGATTTCAAATTTTCGAGTTCAGTTTTACACGTCGCCGTCGGTTCGTGTCATAAACAAGAGCAAGCGGTCATTAAGGAATGTGGAAGTATAAAGCAAACGACGTATCGATTTCACCACATTTCCGAAGCTATTAACGGAACATCGAAGACGTTTGCGTGTTACCGTTTGCGATGTTTACCTCGGAATTCTATTGTTGAATTTTGATGCGCGCTTATCTGTGTGTGTTTGTCTTATTCATCGTCTTGAATTGCGAAACTCTAGTTTTCCGTCGCGTGTGTCAGCGAAACAACGTTCCGCGAATTTATCCACACGGACACGTCATTTCCCGTTGTGAGGATTTTTGATAATGATCGCGGCGACAACTCGAAGTACATCTAAACACCCAACTTTTCAACTCTTAAAAACGGAGTTTCGGATTTTACAAGAAGAAACTTTGATCCTTCTCGCGACAATTTTTGCAACAACGACAAATTATCGAAGTTTTTCGACGCTCGTTACTGAAGCGAGGCGCAATCCGCGCGACACACGTAAGCGCGCGCGTCCGAAATAATTCTCTCTCTCCGTATTGTCTTCTCAAGTAGGTTATCGGAGTGTTAATGACAATTTCAGCGCTGGAGGATGATTTATAATTGTGTGTTTTATCGCATATCGTCAGACGCGCGCGCGTGAAACGGAATATCTTCACGAGCTTTGTTTCTATTATTAAGTAACGGGTCTCGCGCTATCGATCTCGCGAATGTGACTCCAACAACGCGCGCGTGTGTGTGTGTGTTACGCAAAGTGGATGTGAGCCATTTTCCGACAAAGACACACACACACACATGTATAGAAACGAACGATGTAAATAATTCACGTTGCGCGTTAATAATTTAGGAATATTTAGACTTCCTGGCGCAGTGAAATGTTTACAATTTTTTTAGCTCGATTTTAGTTTTTTTTTCCGCAGAAAACTGTTGAATATTTTATTTATCTGTTTGAAAAATACATAAAAAAACACACTTGTTCTTTATTTTTTTTGTTACTTTAGAAACACTCATATATATATATATATAAAAATGTCTTTCATCTTCCTTCTGATAACAGCGCCAACTTCCTTCCTTCTATTCAACATGAGAGTACTAAAAACTAAGCGTGAACTTAAGCTTAATACCTAAACTTTAGAAACACAGAATAAACCTTAACAAAAACAAAATACAAATTCTTTCAAAATTTTCTCACAATTTCTCTCATTTCACACATTTCTCTCTTTTTTATTGACTTTTATTATTATTGCACGCAAATAATGATATTTTTCTCCTCCGAAGTTGTGTCACACACGACGACAAGTGTCACACACACACACACACGAAATCACACCTGCCTGCCTTCAAAGAGAAAACTATGCAAACGCAACAGGTGCCATAATACGCAACGTCATCTAAAGAATCTGCATATTATTTACGGCTCGCAAGCTAATTGCGCTTCCATAACGCCGTTTATTTCTCTCCGTTATATTCGCATAGCGATAAATAAAATAAATTCTTTGTGAACGCGTGAACAGAGAAATTGCAAGAGTGCGCCGCGCGAGAATATTTTTGTCGCGTCACGTCTGTGTACATTGAATTTTTTTTTTTTTTACAATATATAAATTTTTCACGTTGGATAACATCACAAAGCTCTTTTCATTTGAAGTCAAAACCTTTCTAGAGTGCGAGATGGAAGACAAAAAAAAAAAAAAAAAACAATCTCGATCGATCGCCCCCGTTCGTCTTTTCGCTCGACAATTCTCTCTCGTCGAGTTTTTCACCGAGTAGGTTTCTCTTACGCCTAATCTTAGCACTGGAATCAACATAAGCCTGGCTAACTTCCAATAACGTCGTGTAGCGGCCCCCGCTATTACCAATTCGCGTATCACGATACTCCCGATAACGCGGTTGACCTACTAATGCACGTAACTACTTGGCCACGCCGTTAAACCTTCAAGTGGGGTTTTTCGATCTCCTTCTTGAGAGATCATTAATATTTCACGAAACGACGTGTAGGAAAGACCGTTGAACCATTTCTTTACGGGTGCGCGCGAGGAATCTAATGGATTTTATCTGACGAGCCAATTTAAACTCTCCCCCTTACTCTGTCCCTCTTTTGCTCCTCTCGACGTTTTTTTCTTCGCGAATCTCTCGAAAGTTTAACCGTAGAAAAAAGTCATAAGTTATACCAAGAATGTAATGTGACTTTTTTCTCGAAGGAATGCGACGTGGTCATGATGTTCCCCAGCGGGGCGAACGACGAGACCCTGATGTGGCTTCTAGGACGGCTTCGGGCTGGAACCCCGGGGCTGGTAGTTCACGTGCGACATCACACCTCGTCGGACAGTTACGGGTTTTACATTACAGCACCATTTAGCGTGTAAGAAGAAGACAAAAAATTAACTTTTTATATTTGTCAAACAAATTTTCAAGTTTCATCGAAACTCTATCAAATCCATTGATTGTTTCATTCGCAGTCTGCTCAAGGTCGCCGAAGAAGTGCATCTACCCAAGACTCTGCGGCAGGAGTTCGGCGGTGGACTCAAGGAGTTCGTCGGCTCGGAGGCCAACTGCTTCGAGGGCAGCGACGACGAGATTCGCTTCTTCACAACCCAGGAGAGACAATCCCTGGTGCTCCATCTGCTACACACACTGAGGGCCGGTTCGCACGATCTCCACAGTCTGCCTGGTCTCAAGCTGGTAGAGGGACAGGCGATTATTCCAAAGTGCATTTCGTCCGGTATTATTTCTCAGGTGCGCGGCGTGTTTTTATCTTTCGTGTGCTTATCTTTCTTACGAAGAAGAATACCGTGATACGATTCCTGTCCTCGCGTCTCAGGTCTTCCCTCTTCACGAACTACCCGCCTTAGAAAAACTGCAGCGAACCTGGGTCCGCGCGTTCCTCAGCCCGCAACCCCTGGACGACATTTGTAAATACTTCGGGGTGAAGATCACCATGTACTTCGCCTGGCTCGGCCACTACACCACCGCTCTGATCGTTCCGGCGGCAGTGGGTGCCATATACTGGGTACGTCCGTCTCCGCAAAGAGGCGTCTCAAACACAAAATCTGGCTTTTGGCCATTCAAATATATTTCGAAGATAGACACGTGATTTGAGGAACAAAGAACACTCTCTTTCTCTCTCTCTCTCTTTCTCTCTCTCTAACTGATCCGAATCCTGATTTTGTTCAGGTCGGCATCATCGGCAGGAACCAAGCGGTGGAGGACGTGGCGTACGTTCTGTTCTCGGTGTTCAACGTGATATGGGCCACCGTTTATTTGGAAACGTGGAAACGCAGAGGCGCGGAACTGGCGTACAGGTGGGGCACTTTGGATCAGAGGGACGATTTATTGGTCGAGCCTAGACCTCTATTTACAGTTAAGTTTCGAACATCTCTTTACGACTCCTTTTTAGCAACACTCGATGGCTACTTCGGCATGGTAATATATATCGCCCTATATAATGTCTCACATCGCACTCTCCAGCGCTCGCATTTTGCACATCGTAACTGTACGTTACGAGAATATAGACGCGCTTTCAAAATTCCAATAATTCGAACAACAGAAAAACCGCAAGCAAGGAGTTTTTTTGACAACAAACGGAAATACGCGACGAACTATTCGAACGATTCGCGATCGAACTTAATCGCGACCGATCTCGCTCTGTGTGTGTTCAGGGAACTCTGGAGATCTCGCCGGTGACGGGCAGACTGGAGCCGACTTATCCCAGATGGCGACGTAACATGTTTCGATACTTCGTGAGCGTGCCTATCATCGCAATTTGTTTACTCTTCGTCTTCATCGTCATGATTCTGAGCTTTCAGATACAGGTACAAAAGATTGCGGACGATATTTTCGGAATACATGAGAGACGACGTCAAAAGATCGCGCTAATAAAAACTCGTTCGATCGTGTTGTTTCTCGCAGGACTGGTGGGACGCGCATCTTGAGTCCGGAGGTTACGGCTTCTGGCTCAGCTACGTGCCAAAGGTGCTGCTCGCGGTGGTGATCGCGCTGATGGACGAGGCGTACTTCAAGGTGGCTGTGTGGTTGAACGACTTGGGTATGTATAAGAAAATCTATTCTTTCTGTACATCGACACACTACCTTCCTCTCTGTCTCTCTCTTTCTCTTTTTCTCTTTCTCTCTCTCTCTCTCTCTCTCTCCTATCAACATGATCGTGTTACTTCCGTGTGATTCAACATATACAAACAACCGCCATTTGCCGACTTCTTCGCATCGATCTGTGTATACTATACGGTACACTCATGCACGTCTAGTTTTTTTCAAGAGAGCATAATAGCATACATATTATTACTTCAGATAATTTTTTTTTTTTTACACAGCTTAGCTTCTTCTAGAGGATAAAAAGAAACTACATGTGTTAAAAAACGCGCGAGAACGTCTCGTTGTCATATATCTAAGAGACTGTTCAATTGTTTTGTTTTTTTTTTTTTTTTTGTCGTACGACGATCGAACTTGACACACACATAGATAGATTTATTCGCTATCATTTTTTATTAAAAAAAAAAGTAAAATAAAATAAAAAATCTCGGAGAGAGTCTCATGTTGCGGTAGATAGTATTTGTGATTTTTGTGTGTTGGACGCAGAAAACTATCGACTAGACACCGAGTACGAGAATCATCTGATCTACAAAGTGGCACTGGTAATGAGAAGAAAATTCTCCATTCTATAAAACGAATAGAGTAATATAAATATATCAGTGTTGTGCTAGACGTTGTGACACACGTACACGTACACACACACACACACACACACACATACACACATACGTCCTCCTCTAATTAGACATCGTTCCGTTAAAAAGACAAAAGTTTCATTAATTTCATTAATTTCATTAATTTTTGCTTGTATGAAAAAAAAAACCACGAAAAAGCACTTTTCAAAGGGCAAGTGTTCCGCTAACTTGACGAGATTCGAGACGAACGCCACTTGTATATTTAGAGGTGGACCATCTGTAAACATCTATACACACGATATATATATCTATATATATAGACTCTAAGCTTTTTTATTTTAAACGCAGAAGTGTGCCTGCTCTGGCTGTCTCTGTCGCTGCATGAAAACATTCTATTTCGCAAAAGAACACTTTTTTGCTTATGCTTAAATGATTTTACGATACATATACATAGGTGATCTATACGTAATACTGCGCTTTTATGTCATTCTCTGTGATATATGTATATATCTATATATTTATAATATATATATACATATATATATATATATATATATATATATATACATACATATATATACAGTGTGTATGTTTATAACGCGCGCTGCGGATTCGCATCCGGATTCATAATGCGCAACGATCGTTTCGTGTTTCAGTTTCAATTCGTCAACTCTTTCCTGTCGCTGTTTTACATTGCCTTTTATCTTCAAGATCAGGAAAGGCTCAAGGAGGTGAGAGAGAATTCGCTCGAAAAGCAGCAGGTGCTGCTGCTCGCGCACAGTTAAAACATCTTCTGTCATCTTTCAGCAACTGGCGGCTCTGCTGATAGCACGCCAGGTGATCGGCAATCTGAAGGAGTCCGCGGTGCCGTACGTGATCGAGCAGCTGCGGCTGGCGCGACTCAGCTTCGAGCTGTTCGGGGCTCTGAGTCCCAGCGAGGCGCGACAGCCGCCCGGCCAGGAGGCCGAGGAGAACGCGCAGAAGAACGGTAAGGACGGCGAGGACACGGAACGGAAGGAGGAACAGCGGCCGGACAGCGGCAAGACAAAGCCGCCGCGAAGCGTCAGCCAGGCAGAACTGGAGAGTTCCCTCTACAGAGTAGGGCATCATAATTCACTACTTAGTGACGTTACGTTCAAGGTTTGGTCTAGATTTAGCCAATAGTGTTCTTTTTGTTTTTTCTCGGAGCGCACCGCTAACACACACGCACACTGCTATATATGTACATATACATATATACGCCCTTTCTCATCCCTTCGAAGTCGAACTCGCAGTCGAACGTGATACGCGCGCGTTGCGAAATTAATTAGTTGATTAATCAGGAGGGGATGATCCGCGATCCGGCGTATAGCCGTCGAGATTTCTTTCCCCGAGAAAGCGTGTGTCACGCGACACTGCGAGTGATTTCGAACACTACGCATCATTAAAAAAAAAAAAAAAAAAAAANAAAACACAACAACAGAGAGAGGATCTCGCCTTCCGTTATCTTTTCGTTCGTTCGGTCTAACTGCTCGGAGCTCACCTCACGACACGACCGTGCCGAAATGTTTAATGATAAGTGCCAATTGTCGTCTTGCGTTTGTCGGTCGTTTCTTTTTTGCAGAGTTTTAATGATTTTTTCCCATTCCATCTCGACGACGCACAGGTACCCATCAGGAAGGTAATGTCATGTCTCATCTCTCCTATCATTAAAGCGTCAGCCCTTTCCGTCGCTAACGAGCAATTTGTTCGCCCGCGTTATAATTCCGAATAACGACGTTATTTCTTAATAACGAAGCCGCGAGAAAATTGATTAATTAATTTTCATCAATAAATTTGCACCTTGCGAAAAATTAACACAACATATTCTCTGACGTATTCGCGTGTGTCGCGGCAATGTTCTCGCGGCAAATTACGCGAAGCGACCGAAAGGGATGAAAAAAAAAACTGTCACGGCTTGTAACGCGCAACTGGTGTTTTTTTTTGTTTTTTAGAATTTACGTATTGCTAAAATATTTGATTTTATTTTCAACGCATGCACGATTTTTCGAAGAAGACACAATATATTAATTTGTCCGTTCTCAAATACACAGAAAATAAGCACCGAATATACGTTATTTGGTTTAGCCATCTTATTTAGTTGAAAAATAAATAATCCTTCTCGTTTATTTTGAAGGCAAATATTGCCAGGTTTGTTGAACGATGAATAACACAATTCCGAGTGAATAAAATAAAAATGTGTTCCCACACACGACACTGACAAAATTCACTTAAAATAAGATATATGTATCGTGTCTGTTATTATATGCGCGCGGAACTAATTCAGAAATAATAAATAATAATTTTCAATTCGCAGTATGACGGAGCGTTTTCAGAGCACTTGGAAATGCTGTCGCAACTTGGCTATGTCTGTCTGTTCTCCTCAGCGTTTCCGTTGGCCGCGATGGCCGCTCTACTTGGGAATCTGCTCGAATTACGCGGGGACGCGTTCAAATTGTGTTTCGTGCTTCAACGACCTTTCGGGCGTAGGGTCTCGAATATTGGCACGTGGCAAGTAAGTGAAGTTCTTATTAATCCCCTCAAACACTTCGTTCCGGCACTCTCCAACGCCGCGCTAGCGCAAAATGGGATTTGATGTTTAAAAATAAAAAGCAAATTCAATTTCGAAACGGATGTTCTTCCAGAGTTAGATGTTATTAAAAATTCATTGATATTTAAATTAAGTAAAAAAACATTAGTTTTGTAAAATAAAAATCTTTGAAATTTGAAAAATCATGTTTTTTTTTAAGTTTGCTACTTTTTATTGTATTCAACAAAATGCGAGCGAAGAAGCAGTGATTTATTTTTTAAAAATAGTTAAAAATGCTTGTTTAAAAATGGTTACATGAAAAAAGCATTGTTTTTAATTGGTAACTTTGTTTATGAAAGTGAATAAAATATAGTTTTATCGCCAAAAGAATAAATTTGTATAATAAAGTTGTACAATTTATACTAAAAAAAACATGTTTTATGCAATAGTAAATAAACATGTTTTCTTTATACCAGTATTAAAAATTAATTATTTTATTCGATAAAACACTGATATATTAATAACCCCACCGTATTACTTATAATATATATTTTAATATTGTTGATAAATAATATTCTAGTAGATTCTAAGTAAATAATATTATTGTTATTTTTGAAATTTCCATTACCATAAAAATTTGCAAGTGAGATAAAAAAAATACTTAAATAAGTCGATTGTTCGTTGTTTAATTTGTCGCCAGACAACAATCGTTTTCGCCACACACAGGTGCAAATTCGCATTAGGCGTAACTTTTATGATGCTCCTCTTTCACAGAAACTTAAGACATCTGACACTCGGAATTGTCCTACACGACACTGTAGCTAATGTACATACATATTTGTCATAGTGAAAAGAGATCGTTACATCTGCTTGGTCTGAAATATCAGGCAGAGAAGAAATTTTAACTGGTGCGAATTCGCACTAGTGTGGTGTTTGAAGATTAATATTGACTAAAACTCGACTATAGACGGACGGATAATTGAAGCCCTCGAGCCACTAAAAAGGCAAGTCAAGTGAAAGACTAAAAACTCGAGAGCTGTACCCCGAAAACTTAAATAAGACAATTCTTCGACAATGAATTTTTATACATTAAATTCTTTCTCTCTCTTATTTTACTCTCTCTCTTTTTTTCTATGTTAAAATTTATTTCTTGCTATGTAACTCTCTTAGAACGCCATGGAGGCGATGGGCCTGGTTGCCATTCTAGTGAACTGCGCCCTGATCGGCCTGAGCGGGCAGGTGCAACGGATGTTCCCGGAAATGTCGGCGACCCAAACGATCTTGCTGATCGTCGCGCTGGAGCACATAATGTTTGCTATTCGATTCGTGATTATTTGTGCGATTCCCGACATACCTCACTGGGTCGCCACCGAGATGGCCAAGGTGGAATTCTTGAGACGCGAGGCGGTCCGAAGATTATCCTCGACCCCGTCGCCGGAACAACAACCGACAACAGTGATAGGTACATAAATTTCTTCATTTAACGTTCCTCTCTTCACATTAAATGTCTATATATCGAGCGTTTAAATAGTTTTACTCAATTCCTGCGTGTCCTGCGATATTCCTTCCTTTGGCTACGCAAACCAGTTTCCAATCCAATCCGATCCGTCACCACGCATCGTAATTTACACTCTTGACGGAAGCGAAAACGCGTTAACTCGCTTCGCCCGTCGCATCCTCCCCCCTTACCAGCTATTAATTTCGCTCGAACTCAGGGAGATTCGTGGTGAGTCCAGCAGACGGAGAGAGCGAAGAGCAGCATCTGCTCACCGACCGCACCGGTTACGCGACCACGTCCAGTCAGGCGGAGAGTCCGACTATGGCGTCGATCACCACGCGAACACCCAGCGGCCCGACAACGCCCAGCGCCGCATCGGTGCCAAGGATCGCGGAAACCCCACCTCCGGCCGTAACCCCCGGCAGCGGCGGAAGCAGCAGCGAGACCAGTCCGTTTTCGCCCGAAAACATTTCCACTCGGGACATCCGCAACTCGCCGAGATGCTCCATTCCCGGCGGCGAAAAAGGTTCGAACTCATTCTTGAGCAGCCGACTTTATTGAGAAAAAAAAGATCTCTCTCTCTCTCTCACTAATCTCTAATTAATTTAATCTAATTTTTAGTAAGTACTTTAAATTGTTGCGATCATGCAATTACAACCAACTAGGTGCTAGATTTTGTACTGTTGACCAAACGAATCCTTCACGCTGATGAGAAATTTCCCAGTAGGAAGACGCTCGAGGGACTGGTTGGGCAACGAATCGGAAGCGTCGGGTGGCGATCAGTACGGTCACCATTTGACCATCGGACCGCACGGCGGCATCGACTGGGCGTGTCGACTGGGTCTCGAATCCGGCGGACGAAAATCGAGCGACTCCGAAATCACGGGCGCCGGTGTCGTGAACGTGCGGGAGGAGGAATTGCCCTTGCACAGGTCGACCGACTGCATCGTCTCCAAAGAACTCGCTTCGTCCTCGGACAGCGATCTTCTTAGGTGATAAAATGCATTTGTTTCTTTTTTGTCTTCTTTTTACGTACTGTTCTTCTCGTTCGTAGCGAGTTGATAGGGTGTTGGTGAAAACTTTCCTCATGTTAACGCGTCGATTTTGCGCCTGAAGGTCAGCGCCGCCGTGGTCCATGGCTCACAGGAGTCAGAAGTTCCGCTTCTCGCCGGAAAAGGAGAAGGAGCGCGAGAGGATAGACAAACAGCAATATCAGCAGCCGCAGCCGCAGCAGCAGCAGCAGCAGCAGCAGCAGCAGCATCACCAGCAACAGTCTCATCATCATTATCAGCGGGAAACGCAGGATCACCGCGCGAGCGAGCGACAGTCCTACCTCGCGGAGAAGGAGAAAGACTCGAGCGGTCTGTCGGACTCCAGCAAGACGATCTCGAGCCAGGAGGAGGAGACGAAACCGACGAAGGAGGATCGGGAGGCGAAGAAGACGCGGGTAAAGCAGAGCCTGATGAAGCGAGCGCGCTCGGTGGCGATCTTCTCGCTGAAGCTGAAGGAACGCCGCGCCCGGGAAGCCGAGCTCAAGGCCAAGGAAGCCGAACGGGAGGCCAGGTGGCAGCAGCCGCAGTCGTGCGTGGGAGGCGAGCTCTCGTGCATTCCGATAGAAAAGCTTATCTCCGTGGATGACATCGCGGCCATGGAAATGCGCCGAATGAATCATTAGCCGCTTTTGATCTTCTCACATTTTTGTTTTCTCGCTACTTAGAGAGAGAGAGAGAGAGAAAGAGAGAGAGAGAGAGAGAGAGAGAGAGAGTTGTGACGGGTACGAGCAAAGCGCGCGAGCGGACGAGAGAAAAGGCGCACAACTTTACGAATTCGTCACTGAAATTCGTAGAACACGACCGTACTTTCCAATATTTAAATTCAGAGCATCGAACCACACCAATTCAGTTTCGGGCAAACGCGACGAAACATTTCCGGTTGATGTTTCTGTAAGAATTGAAAAAAAAAAAAATCCCCAACACACCGTCTTTTGCTGTTTGTTTTGGCTGATGTAACAAAAAACTTGAAGGTTAAAAAGGAAAGGTACATACGCAAGAGTTGTCGGGATAATTTTACAGATTGGAAAAATTTCACTTATACTGACAAACACAAATCCGACGTTGATCTCACGGAAAATTGTACATGTTATATTATTCAATTTTTTCCAAAATCTGGTTTCAATTCGATGCTCTGCAGAGTGTCACCACTTAGTTTAGGTCGCCCGACGTCGTGATCCGTCATTTGTGCCGTCAGTGAAATTGAAAACTGATTCACTGCTCCTGAAGAATTCGAATAACGCGGTCCGCGATATATTATCGCGAGGGAAAGAAAATCGGCGACATATTTTGGGTGTTCGCCGAATTTTCTTGAAAAAAAAAAAAATCGAATCCGTGATACACCGCAGAGCAAAGCAAAAAAATCCAGCTCTCGGGAGCCGGATCGACGAACGTCGGCGCGAAACTCAACGAAGAGACCGGAGAAGGGAAAAATCTTGTTGTTGTTGCGGTATTTGTTAATTAATCTATAAAGTTCTAGGCGTATATATAAAAAAAAAAAAATATATATATATACATATTAATGGGTTAACGAACTTTTTGCTAAATAGATCTCTACGAAGGCATATCACATAACAGTTTTGTCGATAAAAAAAAAAAAGAAAGAAAAAAAACAACAAACACACCACCACCACCACCGCCACCAATCTTCCCGACACACTTCTCGTGTTGTTCTCGTATTATATAAGAGGATCGTTTCCATCGGCGAGACGAGACGGAATCGAAAAAATAGAGCGCAAAAAAATAAACTATCTATATATAACATAATACCGGCACATCGCGTTGCTCTTCGTCCAGAAAAAAAAAAAAAAAAAAAAAAACGAAAATACAAAGGAAATTTAGCAAACAAAAAAACCGTTTTTTGTATATAGCGAGGAAAAAGTGTTGTTATATACGCAGATTGTGTAAAATCGGTTTCCATGGCCTAGCCTCACACGTCCCCGTCCGCGGCTGAAACTTTAGCGCAGAGCGTTGAGTACCATGTAGAAGAAAACATACACACACATTGTTTACACTTACATACATGCATACACACACACACACACACACACATTACATCACATTTTATTACATTTACCGATATTGTTAGCGTTAGTATAAATTTAGATTGCATCTCTCCACATTGAGCACCGTTGAGCAAAAGTACGTAGCGTGCCCTTCGGGAATTTGCGAGATTCGAGTGCAATTTTAGATGCGAAAAAAAATCGATAGATTAGCCGCTTTTCGTAAAAAGGCAGGTCAGAACTTTAATTCAAGCCGGAAGCATCTGTGTGTTTGTTAGATGTTTTGTATAAAACAAGGAAATATTGAGCCAATAAAAGTATTCTACAAAAAATAATATGTAAAAGTAAATTATATATTCTTTTCCCGTTCCGATAAAAGATTTAATCAAGAAATCACAAAATTCTTGACGCCGTAACATATATTGATGTAAGAGAAAATTATTAAACGTTTTGAAAATAATTTAAAAAACATTCTACGCGCTCAAGCGGCAACTTTTGAATACGGCGGACCTTGTGTGACGTTAGAAATCTGTCGAAGAGAAAGTTACTAGGATTCGAACCAATCGCATCGGTCGAATAATAAAGAGCGTTTTACGCGCGTTGCGCGTAAAAATCGAATCGAAGCGCGCGACTATTGCGATTATCGAAATAGCAAATCGACGCGCTTCGGAGTACTTGTACGCGTACATGTTAGCGAAACATTAATGTTATATTGTTTTCTATATGCGTTACTTTTCTCTGAATACGACACTCAAATAAAAACTATTTGTTATACTCTTTTATATTGTCATTAGGAATTTCTCCAGTTTAAGGCTAATATTACATTCGTCGTACGACAACGATTTTAAGTACGTTAATTGGTTATCAGATCCCGGTAAAAAATTTTTCATATATACTTATACACAAATTAAAATAATTATATCTAATTATGCAAATTTATATGCCGAATATGTCCATACAATTTTACACACGGAGAATTTCTTTTTTTAAGAGAATGGCTTCAGAGATATTCCATATCAAATTACAAAATAAAAACTCTATTAGTATCATGTTAGATACAAAAAAATTGTATAAAACTATATTTTTAAAAAATTTTTGATATATAATCATATACATATACTTATACACAAATTAAACTTATTATATCTAATTATGCAAATTTATATATACCGAATATGTCCATGCAATTTTATACATGGAAAATTTTTTACTGAGTAGTTTTGTAAAGAACTCTATTTGCTAGAGCTAATCAATATATTTAAAATCTTTGTCGTACGACAAATGTAATACTAGCCTGATAAATAGATAAAGCAAGATACGTAATACTGTCAGCGACAAATGACAATCTACCTCGTCACGATTCCCATTTTGTTCGGTCGTCGCACGAAGCGTCGGAAGTTCTGAGATGCCGCCTGCTGACATTTTTTCACACATGCGTTGTAACGTTGCCGCAGTTCTTACCGTCCTTACGTTCCTTTTCTCTCGAACGCGCGTGTCCTTTTTTTTTGTCCCGTAGCCGCGGCACCGACGACAAATTTTTTTTTCCCGCCATTTCGCCGCGCGAATTGATTATTTCTCCGAGCGATTGCGCGGGATTGTTGGTTGATTCATCGCGAACGGCCCGATGGGGACAACTTGACGACGCGCACGCGAGACGATAAAAGACTTTTCTCGCGTCGCCGCGCGCGCGGAACACACAACCGCGAGACAACAAAGTCTCGCCGCTAAACTCGCTAATTAGCGTTGCCGATTACGCGTCGCGTCTGCGAATACGCCCGACATACTTTGCGACATACCGCGCGGATACTCGCGCGCGAAACGATAAAAAACACGGGACGGTTCGAACGCTCCGCGTCCGCCATGAGACTGGGAAGCCGAAGCGCGATCTCGATCGACTCTCGAAGTATCGCAAATCGATAACGCGCGCGATAATCGATATCTTTTATAATCGATGGTTCTCCGTCGCTCGTCCCCCCACTTCTCTCGACACTGGTTCGTCGAGATGTAGCAGACAAGCTCTGTGACGGGTTGAAGATGTTTCGTTCCATTACACGTGAGTGTCTCGTCGTAAATTATTATTATTGTTAATTAAGTATTCTCCACGTTAGTATCACACGCGTGTTCCATTTTCGACGTACGTATATTGTTAAACAATTAATTCGAATTTCTCGCGCGTCTATACATAGAGATGTGAGCGTGAACGATATCGACGATTTCGTGACCGAACTTTGTTTTGTTACCCACTCTCGGTTTTAACATCATTGTTGCATAAGATTGCACCTGCGAAACTTAACTGCGCATTTATGTTTATTCGCGTCGTCGCGTCTCACTCACTAAAGCATATATATATATATGTATATATGTTTCACAGTAGAGACTACTTACATATCACACATCTACTTTCCCAACCGTACAATCAGCTGATATTTTACTATACATAAGCATATAGTGACACATTTACCTTGATTTTACAGATAACATCCCTCAGGGGATAGTGTCCCTGGCGCGCAACAACGCGGCAGCCTCGGGATGCGGCGCCGTTACTTGCAAGATTCAGGAGAGGCGCGCGACCACGGAGTCGTCCGTGAAGAAGGCCGACAATCAGCTGCCGGAGAAACCCAAAGTCGAGCCCTACAGTCCGTTTCAGAAGACCAGCAACACAGCGGAATACGCTTTGGCGAGAATAGACGATCTGTTGAACTGGGGACGCAAGAATTCGTTGTGGCCGATGACTTTCGGCCTGGCCTGTTGCGCCGTGGAGATGATGCACATCGCCGCGCCCAGATACGACATGGACAGATTCGGCGTCGTGTTTCGCGCCTCGCCCCGCCAGTCGGATTGCATCATAGTCGCCGGCACCTTGACCAATAAAATGGCGCCAGCTTTGAGAAAGATTTACGATCAGATGCCCGAGCCCCGATGGGTCATATCTATGGGTAGTTGCGCAAACGGAGGCGGATACTATCATTACAGCTACTCCGTGGTCAGAGGATGCGACAGGATTATACCGGTGGACATTTACGTGCCTGGTAAAATCATGTAGCTTTCTATCTTGACGGTTATTTGATTACTCGAATATTTATTTATATACTTGTTACTGTTTCACAAACGGGTAGTATTGTGATACCGAGATTTCCACTTGTGCAGGTTGTCCCCCAACAGCCGAAGCGTTGTTGTACGGTATCCTTCAGTTGCAGAAAAAGATCAAACGTATGGAAACCACGCAAATTTGGTACAGGAAGTAATGTATAGCACTTTGTATGTCTATAGCAATAAATGTATAAATTATTTAACGGATATACAGAGTTATATGTATATATACATAATACACGTATATATAATAGAATTAATAGTATATATAGTGACAAGATATATATGATTGATAAAATAAATCACATCGTATAACAAAAATAAATTTTTTATTGCCACACGAAAGTCAGTTTTCTGTTCACTTTTTTGACATGTAACTTTGAACAGATGTAATGATACATATAAAATATCGCATCGCATTAAGAAAACAAGTATACTTCTACTTTTTTAAGTTTTTTTTTGTTAAATTTATATAAAGCTTATAAATGTATTTCAGAGAGCTACGTTTCTAAGCTACTTAACTTTTATATTTATCAATATATATATGTACACATGTGTCTATTATATGAAACAGAGAGAAAAAGAGAAAGGCTATGAGAGATGTTTCTTGTATAATCTTCTCGTGAAAAAACAAATATCTATAAAAAATTATTAATAAACTGAGAAATATATCTATAAAAAAATCTATGATTTTATTAATTTTTCCTAAATGTATTTTGTTTTTGTTCAAGTATACTCAAAATTTATATATGTTCGGATTGATATTTTAAAAGCGAAGGAAAGAATTCTCTGCGACACAAGTTCTTTTCAGACGTTTAAATTTATATCGTGTTCTAAGGCCCCTTTCTTTTTGTTTTTTTTTTGTTACTGTAAAATAGATAATACAAATGACATTTGATTTTTATTTTATACTTATACAATATATGGTACATACATATGTACACGTGTGTGTGAACACACATATTATTATACACACCTTTCAATGAAAACATGTGTAGCGAAAAAAAGTGTTTTGGATATACAGAAGATAAAAACTTCGCTCGTTTTAATCAAATTTCCATACCCTATCGGTCTCATGCTGCGTGCTATATAAATGTTTTATAACCAAGATGCTGCGCTTTCATCCCGTTGTGTCCAAATTATCAACGTTTACTTTTTGGTCATAAAACAAAAAAAAACATCAATAAAATTGCAATAGTTGATACAGAATTTATTGTACTGAAAGTACAATGCATGCACTTGATTTGCTCTTATTAATCGACTTCTGTAACAAAAACACGTATAAATATTTCAATATAAATTCTGCTGTTTGTCCTGCATTACATGTAACTCTTCGATTATATATATCTCTCTCATTTATTACATTTTAAATTATTTACGTTTCTTTCCAATAAAAACAAAGATTTTATCGTCCAATGGTGCCGTCAAACACCACGGTCATCTTAAAATCTCGTACGAAGCGACACATAGACAGGTGTTGACTATTTTGTCTAAAAGGCCATTTTGGTCTTAGAAAAAATGGAGTCGATGAGACGTTTGAATAAAAATAAAAATCTTTTATTCTACATTTCTCAATCTATCCCCCTCCTATATGTGCACAGTACAAATTTTGTTTAAACACATTGTGCGACGGAAACGGATCATATTGTTGTAAAAACGTGTCCGGTTTGCATTCTGAGATATATATCACACGCTCATTATTTATATTTTATTGTGTATGTATATAGAGTGCAATTTTATACAAAACTGAATAATCGCATAAATTAATTTAAAATATACAAGCTGATGTAAACATATAAATGATACATATGTATATATATATATATATATATGTGTGTATATATATATATATATGTATATGTATATGTAATGTCCCTGCCGTGTATTTTTCTTTTTTGTTTTATATAATACAAATTGCTTTCAAATTCTGCAAATAAAACAGCTACAGCTAGTCATACACTTTTGCAAAAATTTGTCTTTAAAAAAAAAAACTTGAATACGTAAAATATTCATTAATCCTCTTTTTTCCAAATATTAGATCACAATAAATAAAAATAAATACATTTTTCTCCGAAGCATCGATTGCAATTTCTTTAATATCCGACAATTAATATAGACTCCAAATTATCTCTTTTTTTTACAACCAAATATAAACGATAAAAATATGTAATAATATATATATATATATATATATATATTTATAAATATTTATACATATATATTTATATATATATATATAGCTTCGATCAGATGTTCAGACGGATAGTTTAAGTAATTAGACACACCTAAATATACTCTTGTTTTTTTATATCATTAAAGAATCGCCTGCGACGTAGACGGCGGCGGATTGCTTGGTAAAACAGGCACCGGACCCTCGGTCCAATTGATGAGCGAGTACTCGCTCATTTGAGTACTTTGGAAATGATCTTTCAAGAGAGTCTGAGAAAACGTGCGGTGCATCTGGAACGCCTCGTTCTCCTGTGTGTGATCGCCGCAAATTCTGTACAAGTCTGTAACGTTGATTACGTACGTTACGTAATATTACGCGAATATATTGAACACAAAATTGTTAAATCTCATATTGGCACGAAAAAACAAACCTTCATCAAATTAAATTGTTCATTTCATAATTAATTGTTTTTCGCGATACCTTTAAGAATCGCAGTAGCCCACAATTGCACATGTACATCGGGTATTTTAGAAGCTAATTGCATTGCAGGTGTGACCATGTTCATCGACTCCCGGCTATTTCCCAGCGAGAGAAATATGTGTCCCAAGAGCACGAGACTACACGAGGTGAGTCTGTTTAGGTCTTCCGCGTTTGCCATTTTTAAGGTTTCCCTAAGATACCGTCTGAAAATATTTTCACGTTCACATACATCGATAAAACTGTTTTAAATATTATCCAGACCAGAAGTCTCCATGAAATGTTTTCTTTTTAAAAAATTACACTCTCGAGAATCTTTACATTCATCAGAAAGATACATTTGGGAAACAAAACCGCACTTACTTCGCCTCATTGTATCTAGCACCAAAAAAGGCTTGGAGTCCTTGTACGTAATAAGCAGCTGCTCTCAGTGAGTGAGAATGCGACGGCAGAGATTCCGGATTTATCCTTTCTAATAACGCTCCCAACTCGGCTTCCCTCTTCGTTCTGAGATACACTATCGCTAGATTCAGATGCGCGAATGTCCAGAGTTCTCTCTCTTGCGACGTCTGTGTGAAGATTATATTAAAATTCATCAAACATATATCAATTACCGACATGTCGGTTAAGACACAAATGTTTTTTCCTAACCCTGAGCGCAGCTGAGAATTGAGCCTCCGCAGCTTCCATACAGTTCATAGACATCGCGTATAAACCTAGTAATGCGTGTAATTGAGGTCTGTGACCCTGAAGTAATCTAGGCTGCCGCCTGCAGAGCTGGCACGCCTGTGAAATTTCCGCGAGAGCCATACTTTTGTTTCCCATTACGAGCCGACACATAATTATATGCTCCAGAAGCATCAGTTGAAACACAGACAAGATAGGCTTATTATCAATAACTGTAAAAATATTTTTAAAATTGAAGAAAGATCTAATAAAAAAATTCAAACAAAACTGTTGAAACACAAAAAATCAAGTGTATGAGTTTATTACACAAGTATAAAATATTATATAAAACATTTGTGTGAGAAACAATTTTCTGCTTACTTTTCAGTTTTTCAATTTGGGTAAGCGCCTTGTCAGTATATTTCTGCGCTTTGTCCATGTATCCCGCTTGCATAGAATGCATTACGGTTACTAAATAAACCAAAACGTACAAATGATCTTTTGGCATCCATATGAACATGTCTCCTATATTGGAACCTGTGACTACATCATCCGCCGGCCAACTTGGAGACATTAGAGTCTGTATACTCTGTTGCAATTGTTTCAAACAAGGTTTCACACTTTTCACCTGAAACGTGAGTGAGCGAACAAAAAATTGATGATATATAAATTTACTTTATATATATATATATATTATATATATATATAAATTAATCACAATATTCCCAATCGATCTTACCTGACCAGCCATAAGATAATGACACACTTGAAGAACTAGAAAGTACACTTTTAGATATTCCTTTTGATGCGGACTACCCTGCCAATTTTCTACATGATGATTCGCCGATGTAAGAAGAGGATGAACCTCTGTGAATTTCTTGTCTATCAACAGAAGCATACACCGGCTCAGAAGAAACAGAACTTTGGTATAACTGGCATTGCTTATGTGAGAGTAATCAACGCCCACCGCAAGCAGACTGCTCGCCGCCATGAAATCTCTGTCCGAGGCATGAATTTGCTGTCAAATACATTCACAGCAATAAATTTATATAAATTTCATTAAAGATATACATATATTATTTGTTAAATTTATCTTGTCTTTTTTGTTACACTTACTGCAAGTTGAAAGATGAGCCTGCAGTGCCAGTAAACATTGTGTTGAGACAGTTCTATCGCCTTCCTCAGTATCGGTTTGCTCAGATTTGGCTGTTGCTGTTGCTCGTACAATTCCGCCGCCACGCTAGCCGCTTCGAACTTCACGTCGTCAAAGGCGTTTATACTCTGACTCAGTCGCCACTGAAAGAAACAATCATAAGTCATTAACACTATATTTGACTCAACAACCCTAATTAATCTAATAGACCCAATCGTATTGTTTATTGTGTTTTCAATAGCGAGAGGTTAGAAACCGAAGGGGGAACGAAACGCAAAAGATCGCGCGAATTGTGAGACAAAATTGCAAAAAAGAATCGCGTGATCGACGCGCGAGATGATAAACACAGCGACTGACCGCTTGTTCCAAATGGGATCGCGCCAAATCGATGTTTTTCGTGTGAGTGAGCAGAATGTTGCCGAGCTGGAGATGGGTGCGCGCCTCGACGCGCGGCGGCGGCTTGAAGTGGAAAACCGCTTGCAGACACTGAATGCACGACTTGATGTTCGGCGGGTTCGACGTGCGAAAGTTCTCGGCCAGACCTAGCAACGAGAGATACCAAGCGTCCTGAGAAGACGCCATTTTGACATTTCACACACACACACATGCAGACCAGACGTGAGCTACACGTCAAACACGGACGCACCGCGGTCAGACTGTCGTGGTGTAAACAGTGCGGCGGCGAGCCGGAAGTAAAGATAGCCGCGCATACGCTCTGTGAATCCCACAGTAACAGTATATGCACTTACGGCGAGATCGGACGGTAGAGAGCGCGGATAGCGGCAGGTGGAGAAAGCTCGAGCGAAGCGGCGGGAAGTTTGACAGGTGGGATAGGCATGGAACGTCGAGTACAGAAATTAGAAAGAGAGGAGACACAAGGGCGAATCAGGAAAGAAAAAGAAAGAGTGATAACGCGAAAGTTTATTTTAACCCCTTGGGTACATTTGACGTCTGAGACACGTCATTCACTTTTTTCACTTTTTTGCTTTTACATACTACTCCAAGCAACCAAAAATTATATCCGTTCCACATGCAAATATTTTCTCAAATAAATCCGTACCCAAGGGGTTAATATAGAGAATGGCAAAATAATCCAAATTAGATTCTGATTCTGTCAATTTCAGCGTGTTATCATCGATGCCAGATGAATAATCGAGTTTTTTATTGACTATAAAATTTAATCTTGTTTTTTTAAAAAATTAGTTGTGAGGGACAATTATTCGATAACAAAAAATCTGTCTATAAAATTTAAGGTTTTGGACTTACGGAATAACGGATGCGATAAGAACACCCTGACAAAAATAAGAAGTTTTAGGCCTGTTCTACAATACTGTCGTAATCTGTAAGTCGTAAGAAATTGACTAATCACAGACCAATTACAGAAGAATAATCGATTATGATTGGTCAATTTCTTACGACTTACGTCTTACGACTGTATTGTAGAACAGGCCTTACAGAGCGTTGATAACCGTTTAATGAGAATTTTCTGAGAGTTTATACGCTTTCAAACTTTATAAGAATGCTTATATAACGCTAAAAGTTTTGAACTCTTTTGGAACACTTGTCAAACGCTTGTCAAACGCTTGTCAAACGTATAAATGTTTTCTAAGCATTCAATGATAAGATAACGCTTTTCACGAAACGTCCCTGACGAAAATGAGAAGTTTTATAAGCGTTTATTTGACGTTTGTATGAGCGTTTTGTGGAAATTCGTTGAAAGTTTTGAAACGATCAGTAGAGAATTCATAGAGCAGAAATTGCAACGCTACAGCGTTTGAAAGGCGTTTGTATAAAGCGTTTCTGAAAGTTCGCATAGTGTTTACGTTAAGCGTGAGACGAAACAAAATAGTTTATTAAGTTAAATACATCTAAATTAAATTAAAATTTAAATACATCTAAAAATTCAATTAAAAAAAATTTTTCGCGACTTGCGCTTTCACACAGCTAAGAGAGATTTCACTTTAATTAATTTTTGGAAGCCCGGTTCAGCTCGCCAATCAACCAATAAATTCCATTAAAAGAGACCGGACCTGTGAAAAAATCCTAGAGAGATGATAGCGGGATTCGAACTCGAGACGCCTCCGTCGTATTCGCAGCACCTGCACTCAGTCCGCGAGACTACTTGTTCCTTACTAAAATATGATTATTTTTATCTACTTATTCTCAAGCTATTTTACACAGTTCATTTATTATTTCTTTAAAATATTATTTTATTAAAAATA